TCTCTTTGAAAACCATCACTGCCTTCCGCTGTATCCATAATTTATGTCATACATTCTTTTTTTCCAATTAATCTTCTAATCTCTCTTTTTGGAGAATCTCCATACAACCATGATTTTCTCATTACTCTGCTCCCTCTCGATTGATTCACTTTTCCAGTAAGTTAACATATTTATTTATCATATTTATTTATTTTGTTATCTGGCTCTCACTCATTCATCATATATGACCAACTCATTTTAATATAGTTCTTTCATATTAAGAGCCAGGTGACGTGCAATTTTAATAAAATGTTATATTGGTCACTCACTTTTGTATTCATTCATCACCCACTCATTTTTGACCTGATTTCTTTTGGTTTATTACACACTTTTTTAAGCATTCCATTCTTACTGCATTCAGCTTAACTTATACTTGACAACTCAGTTCTACAAAACAAAATGGCAAAAATATGCTCATATAAACTACCATTGGTTTTTTTTTAACAATCATACAATTTTCGATAGGCGTGACATAAAATCCTTTCACCAATAGTTGTGACCAGTTGTCTGCATCAATAGCTTAGGTTTTGGAGAAGAACGCATTTGATAATCTGAGGTTGGAGAAATCCCTTGTGTACATGTAATTATTGCAATTATTTTGACCATGAGCTTTCCTAGCAACCGTCAGGATCTCAAGCAATGAAACATACAAACCATTAGACTGAGTTCCATTCTAAAGCCTGGTGAATGTCCCTTCTCTGCCATCCCTCCAGCGTTGTGGTTCCTTGTTTGCAGGAATTCTTAAAATTCATTAGTCGTGAAAAAAGGGGGCTTCATGTTTGACAATCTTCTTCATCTTTACACACTCCAGAGATATCAGATATCAACACACTTGTCACAGGGTTGGGAGTTATGCACATTGAGGAAGGCTGACTTAAAACTTGGCATTTCATATGAAAATAAAATCTGCAAATAGTAGCCATTTTAGCCTTCACTAACTTCTACAACCTTTAAGTATTTATTTTGCAGAAGTCATATTATCTCAGGATGTATGTGGACATTTTGAGATCCTGTATCATTATTAACAACAATGATGCATGCTATTTTAGCTTCTTTTATTTTTAAAAAATAAAGCTATTTCAGTTTAATATCTGACTTTGTAGTACTTTGTACACTTTGTAGTACGTGTTTTCTCCGCTGTTCTAGTTCTTATAAGTAGCCTCATGTCAAGACAGATATCAAGACATTAATATATTAAGCCAAAAGCAATAAAGCTCAGACTTTAAAAGTTAAATACAAATAGCCACTAATTTGGATTGTGAAATCCTGAGGAATCAACAGATGCAATTACTATAATGAAAAACTTGGAAATATGTAGCTAGAGATGTGTTCTAGCACATACAGAACATCATGTCCCAGACCATGTATTTCTGAAAATGCCAAATCATTTCCAGAACACTCAGATCAACTTCATTATAGAAGAAAAAAGAAATGTTTTGAAGCCAGTCCAGTCCACTTTGCACTCTCCTATTGGTGAGACTCCAGACATTGCTGAATTGCAATTCCCAGCACCCCCTGGGACTGTCCTGGTTATAGTAGGTATGCTGGTTCAATAGTACACAGAGAACTACAGGCTCTCTATCAAAATGAGATGGATTATGAAAATGCTGGGATAATTCTTATATAAGCACTGACAATATTGACTATCATTATTGCCATCGCTGTTCAAATCATTAAAGGTTTGCAGATGTCCAACATGAGGAATCTCTCTTTTCTGAAACTTATTAGCTTGCACTAAACACTCTCCAGGGGATGTATTGTCAATTCAGGCTCAGCTCTTCCACCTATTTACTGTGGGTGTTATTCATGCCTGAATATATTTATAAGGTAATATTTTTAAAATGTTTTACTAAAGCATAATAAAGTGTAAGAAAGTAAGCAAGAGAAAAAACAATAATGCAAAAAAAAGACTACTAGGTTTAAATTAAAAAGAAAAAAAAGTAAACTGCAACTCCCCTTCTCTCGCTTCTGTTTCCTCATACACCCACTGTTAAATATTTGAACTTTGTATTTAACATTGGTTCATGGAGAAAATCTATCTAGGTGGTCATTAGGAGTCAAAAATAATTTGATGGCACATAATCAATCAATTATTGTTACAATCAATTGAAATGTATGTGTAATAATTGTTACTAGTTCTTACTTGAGCCCTAAAAACTGTGTTCTACATATATAAAATGAGGCACATGGCTGAGAAATGCCTTAATGTTATAATTGGTGCAGAAGGGTTGTTGACTGAATACAAGTACTGATACAAAATACAAAATACAATCTCATGCTGCAGCTGCCAAAAAAGCCAACTCAGTGCTGGGCTGCATTAACAGAGGGATAGAATCAAGATCACGTGAAGTATTTATACCACTTTACAATGCTTGGTAAGGCCACACTTGGAATACTGCATCCAGTTTTGGTCACCATGATGTAAAAAAGATGCTGAGACTCTAGAAAGAGTACAGAGAAGAGATGGTTAGGGGACTGAGGCTAAAACATATGAGGAACGGTTGCTGGAATTGGGTATGTCTAGTTTAATGATGAGAAGGACTAGGGGGGACATGATAGCAGTGTTCCAATATCTCAGGGGTTGCCACAAAGAAGAGGGAGTCAAACTGTTCTCCAAAGCGCCTGAGGGCAGGACAAGAAGCAACAGATGGAAATTAATCAAGAAGAAAAGCAACCTAGAACTAAGGAGAAACTTCCTGACAGTTAGAACAATTAACCAATGGAACAACCTGCCTCCAGAAGCAGTGAATGCTCCAACACTGGAAGTTTTTAAGAAGAGACTGGACAGCCATTTGTCCAAAATGGTGTAGGGTTTCCTGCCTGAGTAGGGGGTTGGATTCAATGACCTCCAAGGTCCATTCCAACTTTATTATTATTATTATTATTATTATTATTATTATTATTATTGTTGTTGTTGTTGTTGTTGTTGTTGTTGTTGTTGTTGTTGTTGTTGTTCTGCACTGTTGGCCAGCTCCCTGCTAGATACAGTAAGGGACTTTATTGACCTTTAAGGCCCTGACAACCTGAAGGATCTTATCTCCTATTATGCACCTGTCCAGCCTGTAAAGTCTGCAGAAATCATTTCAAAGAAGCTCCTGTTGCCAAAATGTTCCTTATCAGGTCCCTGGTAGAAGGTTGATGGAAAGGTATAGAACTCATTACTTCAGAAGTTATGTTTAGCCCCTCACTCTCTTAGCAGTGAAAAAAGTCGGCAAAGAACCTTCTCTTTTGCTGAGGTTTTAATTGGTTATTGATTTTAGCATCCATTTCCATTTTAAAAAAGAAATCAAGTTTTTAACTTATGCTAGCTTTCTTAAGTGCTCATTTGAGTAGAATAATAGGGTATAAATAAATCAAACAAACAAATAAGAAAGAGAAAGCACTTAGATTGTAACAATTTAGATACACAGAAATGTTTTAAAGCAATAAAAGAAGACTGAAAGCCTGTCTATTTCTACAACCATCTAACTAAGTTCAGTTTTCTGAAAAAGGGCTTGATATCATCCAGCCAAATCAATGCATTCAGAGAATTACAGTATGAAACGCCAAGACAATAGCCGGAAAATGGCAGCATTATTGTTCCTTGAACATTTTAGCTTAGGCCTTTTTACAAAGAAAACTGGCTATATTCACTCACATGCTACAAATGTAGCAACACCAGAACACCAGTGTAGAACATAAAGCCTATGATACTTTCAAAGCATACCTGAAACAGAGAGCAGAGATTGGTCCTGGATAGGGAGTGGGTCTACTGGAAGATGTGTTGTATGGTCTGGTCTCTTTAAATTACACTTATCCTTTTCATTCTGGGTAGTCAGGAAATATATCCACTGGTGGACACTGTGAAATCACTTTATGAGTTCCAGAGTTGTTGGATTATTAAAAACATCATGTCACACACAGTAAAATTATGTTCTCCTGTGCAAATGTCTCTATTTTTCTACACAAACCCTAAACTTAAACCTTGATACATGATTTTGTGTGAGAGTACTGGTAAGGCTTGCACTCCACAATTTACAGCACACCTATATGAATGCATCTTAATATTCATTCACTCACTCACTCATTCATTCATTTTGACAAGCCAGGAAAATCCAGAAAATCAGAGTTGCAGTGGCTTCTTTCATTTTACTCTCATGTCAGACTTACAGGCCTTCTCAGCAAATCAAGGAGTCAAATACTTTGTTGATTAAAAAAAATGTTCCACTATCATTGCCACCGTCTGCCAAGAAGGGGAAAGGCTTACACAGTCAAGGAGTCTGTGTATGTAGGAAGAGACATTCTTATACACTCTCATCTCTGGTACCATCGATTTTATATATGGTTTCATTGCAGAACATGGAATGCCTTTGTCCTGCAAGTAAGCTCTCTTAAGTTGATGGAATACAAAATGCTTAACAGAAGTCACCAATTCAACTCTGTTAACTGTTTGAGAACAGCAGAGGGCACTACTACATTCAGAGATGTAAAAATGAAAATCCGATACTTGAATAGAGTACAAAGCAGCAAAGACTACCACTGTTCTTGATCAGCTATTCTAATCCTCCTAAGAATTACTACAATGAAAAGGAACAGTTGAACTAATATTCTCTCCATATGTAAAGGCTGCATTGATTCAATTCCAGCAGGCTTATATATATGAAAACCAGTTTCAACAGTATGAAACCCTCTTATGTGGCTGTTCATCCCAACATTCCTTCCATGAAGTGTCCGTTTGTAAGCATGTGGAAGAGACTATATCAGGAGATACACAGTTTGCATCAGGCATGAACCCTTCTGGAAATAAACAGTTTATAACATTGTTTGTGAATTCTACACCAATGATCTTATTGTCTCAGTCCAAATGGAGAGAAATGAGCACAGAAGCAATTAATGGGGCTTTTACATGCTTTAATTTAAAAACAGTTAGATAGAGAAAATTAGCAACAACATATTAAATTGTGAATAATGTGAACACTTACCGACCACATAATTATCAGTCTCCTTGCAACATAGGCATTAATGATCCAGTAAGTGAATGGAAGAAATGTGATGTAGAAAACTTCCTGGCCCATTGCAGCAGAAATTCTGAACAGGTAGTAGTAGAAATAATTTTTTACAACATAATCTTGTGAACATTCCTACAAGAAAATGTTAAGTGTGTTAGTACATTTATAAGGGGAATCTCAGATGATATTCAGTTTCACCAAACTTGGTTTTCCAAAAATGTGAAAAATAGAAATAAAAATTCTGGTTCTAGCTCTGTTTTAACTAGGAGGAGGTTACCAGAGTTTTTTCTGATTTTATTACAGCAGTAGGAATTTACTGGATTAATAAGAAGCCATGGAAGTAAGGTAGCATATTTCAATTTCCCTTATGCTATGATGGTATAAGAAAAACAGCAAAACACTTTCTACATTCACTGATATTATTAAGGATACTTCTTGAAAAAAGGAATAAGGAAAATAAGGGGGGGGGAGTTTGTAGTAAATGAAAGACAGAAAGTGTTAAAGAAAGGTAAAGGTTTCTGACAATAGGTAATGTTTCTTTCCTAAATGACATTTACTTCACCATAGAAAAGTGGAATAATTTTTCCTCTGTGGAATGTTCTATATTCAGATATTTGCCCAACAAAGTAAGGTTCTGGAAGATTTTAAGAGGTCTTAGAATGAAGGTACCAATGAAAACACTTGAGAATAAGTCCATCATTAAATGGTGGGGAATCTCTCAAAGCCCACTGGATTTGAAGGCAAAGAAATGCAAACAACCGAACAGATTTTGTCATGGAAGCCAGAATGAGACAGATCATCCACAGATCATAACCACCACATGCAACAATGAGAATTCCAATGGAAGAATATTAAATTTATTCCAAATATCAGAGAAAACTATTACAAGATGTCTTATTCTAGGAACACCACTCCAATCCTGACTGCTAAAAGTGGACAATTATTTCTCTAAACTTTGCTGGAAATGTAATCAAGAGAGTAGATCTTTTTTTCCATAATTGGTTGCAGTGTTACAAAGCTCCATTCTGGAAAATGATTTATACTTAAAAGCTGAATTCCCATTTCAGCCTCAATTTTCTTATTAAACCGTGTATCCCTTCAAAGTGTAATGAATTAGCATTGCATAAGCTAGCTGCTGCAAGATTTTATGCTTTTCACTAAAAAGATTCTTTGTACATGGAAGAATGGCTAACCAAATTTGAGAGTATGCTTCAACGTTTAGAATACATTTCTACCTTAAAAGTACATTTGACATAGAATTCAACTCAAACCATTCACAGATTTCAATTTAATACATGATTTGTATCATAGCCATAATTTGGATTTCTCTATATACTCCAATTGCACAGGACATTTAATTAACAATGCGGATTGAATGTCTTTTAGTTTATAATTCTACATGGTGTTTTATATTGTGTTGACTGTGATTTTATATTGTGTTGACTATTGCTGTAGCTTAGAGCTTAATTGTGATTTTTGGTTTTTAAAAATGGTATAACTCTGCTAACTCTGCTTACTGTCAGGAGTTCGATTTTGACCAACTCAAGATTTCCTTCCATCCTTCCAGGGTTGGTAAAATGAGGAGCCAGATTGCTGGGGGCAATACACTGACTCTGTAAACCACTCTACTATAGTATTGTAAAACATATGAAGTCTAAGTGCTATTGCCAGTGCTTTTTTTCTTAAAAAAAAAAAAAAAAAAAGGTGCCAGAACTCACACACGTCATACAACCCCCCTTGCCTACCCTACAAGGTTCCATCCAAAAAAAGTGCCGGAACTCCGTTCTGGGCGTTCTATGAGAAAAAAAGCCCTGGCTATTGCTATAGTATTGCTATAGTACAGGGGTGTCAAACTGCAGGCCCGCAAGACGGACGCGTCGCCAGGAAACCACACCCAACTCATTGCTGGCAATGGGAAAAAAGCTCCGATACATCATGTGACATCACATGATGTCACGTGTTTGACATGTCTGCTATAGTACATTCAGTTATTTATATCTAATTAATGAAAATCACAAGCTTTATGATACTTTAAAATGTTGTTTATTCACCTATAGTTTAGTTTATATTTGTTAGTTTTTATCCCTTGTTCTCATCTTTTTAACAGTAGTCTACATATTTTAATTACAATTTAAAAAATGAAACTATTTTACAGACAGATGATGGCGTGGTGGCCCAGTGGTTAGAATGCTGCATTGCAGACTAACTCTGCCCCAGCCAGGAGTTTGATCCTGACCGGCTCAAGGTTGACTCAGCCTTCTATCCTTCAAAGGTCGGTAAAATGAGGATCCAGACTATTGGGGGCAATATGCTGACTATGTAAGCCACTTAGAGAGGGCTGTAAAGCACTATATAGTGGTATATAAGTCAAAGTGCTAGTGCTAAATGGAACAGTCAGAAACAAATACAAAGGATATGAATTCCTTCAAGGAATCCTATTAGTAATTCACAAGGTGTGAGGAAGAGGTATTGATTTAGTGGAACTGTCATTAAGCTTGAATATTTCAACATGATAATCACAATGAAATCTGCATAATGAATTATGATTTGTTTTCTTGAATTATCCAGTGACTTCAGAAATATAACAATGCTAGCAGCATGTCTCTTTGCAGCCAACCTCATAATACAGATGCCGAATGTCTTATTAGAACAAAATCCATAAATAGAAAGGCATCTCAGTTTATTTAGAAGATTAATACTTGGATAGTTATCAAAATATACCACCCTTTTCTAGATGGGATTTCTAGGACATCAATATCTTATGGATAACTAAATAAGGTTCCAGATACCAACATACAGCAAAAACAATAACAGATATACCGTAGTTAAAACCAATTTTCTCAAGGTTTGCAGGCATCAGTGTTTCTCCCACCCTGTTTTGGATGTTGATGAGCCAATGATCAACAAAAGAAATTTGACTTGTTCAGCATACAGCAAGGCATGACATATGGTATATAATTGAGATTTGTTTTATTTGGCACATGGTGCTATAATGAAGATTTGTTTACTGTTATATAATTTGTTATATATCTTATTTCTAATGTTTATAAACAATTCAAATCGTTAACAAATACTTTTGTTTAATCATCTAGTTGATCCTAGAAATATAAAATTACAGAGAAACAATCTTAAATTTCTATTTTTTATTTGCTTTTATATAGTTATTTTAAATTCCTTATTCTCTACAGCACAGAAGAGTTCTCACAGCATACTTTTTTCTACTTGTAAAAAAATTCACCCAGCTATATATTAAAATAAACTCTGTTGTTCAAAGGGCATCAGCAATGATATCCATATAACATAAAGCTAAACAACCAGTACCAGCAGATCTCCCTCTTATTGCCCACAAGATCCCTGATCCACTTAATTTTATTTCTATTATTTCCAACCCAACAGAATGATGGAAAAAGGGGGATTCAGGACTCTCTGTCTATCCATCAGAAGGGTAAGTCTTTAAAACACAACGAGACCAAATCCTGATATTGGAGAAGAAACCGGAGGGGGGGGGAATCCAAAAGCAGGTTCAGATCTCCCACTGGGTGGAGTAAAAAAATCCCCATGGAATTGGTGATTAACTCCAAATATTCCTGACTCCTCCGCTGTAAATCCCTGCTTTCTGACAATAAGACCCAGAATAGATAGTACAAGGCCCCACTGTATGCTTCTTATGTGCATATATTCAGAAACAAACATAAATGCCATACAATAGGAGATCAAAAACACAAATACCTCTGCTATTTTTTCACATGAAAGAAAATATAGACCATGCTGTTAAAGAGATGGGAAGCAATCCCAGAAGCCTTGTCCCTCGTTGTTATGAATGAGAAGAGAGCCCACTTGACCAGCAAACAGATATAGCTAGACCAGGTGGAGTGAGAACTGAGGCCAGGGAATTATCTCTCAAGTTGTCCATCTTCTGGTAAATATGAATTTTGTGATTTCCCCCCATTCCCAGATGGAAGCCAGTTTTTGAAAAGAAATGTGTCAGGCTCTCAATATTCCAGGAAGGTTCATAGATCCTTGGGAACCTCTAGGTAACTCTTTCATAAGGATCAAATGCAAAGAACTTCTGCAAATGTCATGAATGGTGAAAACAATATTTTTGTTTCTTCTTTTCTCCTTGTGTTAAAATAAAAGTGCCTTTTATAAACGTAAGTACACATTTTCCCAAATAGCAGTCAAGGGGCCATCAAAGCACATGGTGCAGCTTTGTAGGAAGCTCAAACTGATGCAAAGCAGATTCATATGTTGTCCTTCCAATGACTGAGCGAAGCAAACTCCCACTGGCAGTGTTACTTTGTTAGGACAGTTGATAAGCAATTGTGTAGGTCACCTGCAGTGCATCTGAGATTAGCCAGGCATCTGGCAAACAATTTCTGAGAATAGGAAGCTAGTTTAGAAGTAGAGCAAATCAATTCTTATGCTCCCAGGACCAAATTAGAGACAAACTTAAGTGTATAAATGCAGCCAGTGTGAATGGTAAGCTTCTACTGTGCTTTACTTAAAATTAATCACATGAAAAGCTGGATAACCTCAGAATTTGGGGCAGGAAATAAGCTTGCCTTTTCTTGTTAGGACTTTGCCAAAAATGGTCTTTCTTGGAGCTGCTGTTTGCATTTCAGCAGACATTTCCATCAGATTCACAGAGGCTTCATTTGGAATGCAAACAAAAGCTCAATTTTGTCAGGATCATAGTAGGAAAAAAGAGGGAAAATTTTTCCTCCTTCAATGCTTGTAATTATAATCTATTTTTTCTCAAGATTGCAATTTACATAAATAAAAACCCACTAATTGCAATTGGCGTACTGCAAAATGTCCACTTTAAGTCCATAGAAATCGCATTTCCAAAGCTGTTATCTTAAAAACGTTCTATAGCAAATAACTGCCATCAATTGCATGGTCACAGTGCCATCATGCTGCAAACCACTACATCAGATGATGCCACTAATTCTTGCAATAGATCACTTAAAATGTTATCTTTGGAGAAAAGGAAAGATACTTGCTCCAAGGGGCTGTGTAAATCAAATGCTGGATATAACAACTGCAAGCACTTTCCAAAGAAATCCTCCTCACAGATGTATGCATGAAGATATATGAATGGAGAATATTGTATGCAGGACATAGAGTGCAAA